AGACCATCCATTCTGGAAATCCAAACAGCTAATCGTAATCCATGGTGACAGTGGAAGGCATTTTTGGACTTTTCGGGTTACTGAAGTCATTTCTTCACGCATTTGCAACAACAGAAGCCTCGTCTTAGTACCAATTCCGCGCCATTTCCCTCATGGTAACTTGCACGACATCTATTTTCACTGCTTTTGGGAGGCCTTATTTTTTCGCGAAGTCGCATTTTCACCACCGGAGCACCATTCTTCACTGACGCTTCCACATTTCAACTCAAAAGGATACGCGATTATCGTTAGCTGTCTCTTCAGATGAGAGACACCCAACCTGCCATTCCGTGAAACCCCTTCCTTGCTACTTCATGGAAGCCTTATATTTTCAAAATCCAGCAACCTTCGCAGTCTCTTCAAGAATGAGGCTAAGCTCCATGTATTGCATTTTCACCCACTTCCATTCATGGAAACTGTGACTGACGCAAAATTTTGCGAGTATATTTTGATTCTGGGAGACCAAGGTGGTGTAGTTGCAAGTGGCGCGCTATCATACATGCATGGTCTAGTGTTCGAATTCTGGAATTCCAAGTTAGGTACTCGTCTCGGCCACCAAGCCGTATCCGAATTCGGTACTCGTCGGGCCAACCAAGCCTTCCGTACCTCCAAAAATGGTTGTTCGGTAATAAACCTATCTGGTAGAATGAAAGCACTGCGTTGTGCATCTACTGGACAGCGCAATCCATTGCATGAGCTGCACACGAATGGCCCTAGCTCTCCTCCTTCCCGTATGAAGTTGACACGCCGCTACAAGACGGATTTTATAGTTCCATGAATGTGTCACAGAGTAACCCGAAGACACACACAAGAGCCTCTAAACACCAAGCACATATACGACGCAACAAAAGGTACCCTGGTCGGAGGTCACGTGGGTGGGTGATGGGGCACTATCGGGTTGCTGTATGTATCACGCCTTCACAGGACGTCTAAATCCCTCCAATCGCCGCTGGCATTCTTCTGAATTTGGACGCTCTGGTCCAAGAGTGAAGGAGTCTTTAATCGCCCGTGACGCACACGCACACACACGTCGTGCGCGTCAAACGTTAAGAGCGGAGTCCTGCGTATTTGAGAAACTCGTTCCGTTGCCACTTGTTCCATGTTGATTGCATATTTTCACTCAGATTACGCCCATTTCACGCATGTTCCGTTCCCTTCATTCCCACTACGCCCTCGCTGGCGGGCTCCGAGTCAGTCCCTTTCCACTTCCTACAATCAGCAAGCCCATACTGCCGCTCGCATCTCTACCAAATTCGAAGACCCCAATCAAAAATTAGCAATTCTCGCGCACGCTCCTTCCTCTGTGTGCGGGGTTCAGTCACCTATCATAGATGATGTCAACTTGCCGCTTGTACCAGATTGTGCCGAATTTGAAAGTTCTAAGTCCAAGGAACAGCTGTGAACTTCCGGTAGGACCCCCACACAAACACACAGACAAACCAACAGACAAACTTAGCGCATTGTATATAAGAGGGTACTTCTACTTTGATGAAGGAAATTTGGTTCTGAATTAGGTCTCTTCCCACCTAGATCGGTTGATTGCTAACTTATCAGCCACGCTCACAAGGGGAGGATATTAGGTAGCACTGGTCTTCCTAGATTAAACACATACCGCCATGACTGGCTCCAGATGCTCATCTCAAATCGACCCTCCAAAGCTGCTAGACGTCTGAGAACGATGTTACGGCACCCTTTTCCCTGACGTGCAGTGACGACACAGTTGGTACGGTAGAATGGCGGAGTCGCACGGATGACGTAGAGATTCTATTCGTTGATGCATCTATATGATGTATCTTGCTTTTTCATCAACCGTTCTCTGAAGGCTTGCAAAATGCTTTTACGCTACATATGAACCATTTACAACCCTTCACTGCATTGCATTTTTCTTACTCTTTTTCCTTTTCCGAAACCTTTCTTGCCCTTAACTATCTGCCTGATAATGGTTCAGAGAAGAAGAACTACGAAAGCTCTGTTCGAAGTGTGCAAAGCGATTTCTGAAGCTTTCGGCAGAAAGGTATCACATGATTTTTCGAATTGGAGCGCCCTTCCAATTATTACCAGCGATATGTTCTGCTCGAAGTTGCTGTTATGGTACTTGCCAGAGGGCCTTGCTTCCCGCGACACAATGTGGGTACCCTCCAGGAAGAACAAAAGCAATCAGGCATTTGGGGGGATTTTGCCTATGTTACTAATGCTACCTACAACGATGTTACCGGCCGTAATGAAGAGGAGAGGATGGAGATTACAATGACCCTTTCTGATTACTTCATGCTAGCGACGACGCTCATTCGTGCTTTTTTTTTATCACGACCGAAAAGCTAGCCGGAGTTGGGATTTGGGGGGATCTTGGGGAGTAGGTGAGACTTTCACAGTAGCCTTATTTTGACCAACATGATATGTTTTAACAATTATCTGCAAAACGAAAGGATCGACCGACCGGGCGCAGAAGATAAGTATAGAAGGTAAGGGGAAGGCTATCGAAGAAAACAAATGTAAAGATCCCATTGCATGACCGCGATATTCACCTAGTGGCCTTGAAAATCAGTAAAAAAGACATCGTAAAGGACAGTTGAGAAGCAAACCGTCGGCGGATTCAGGCTTTCAAGAGGGGCTGTGGTGCCATATCACCACACTCGAATCGGAAAAAGGGTTATTCGAAACTTACTGCATCATAATAAATGTTATAAGTTGCTCCCTATCGCCCCGACAACCATCTTTCCATCAAATTCAGCTCAACAAAGAATGTCGTTCATCTTGGCATTTCTCGCCCCACGAATAAAGAGGGTACCCTTCCAAAAAGCATTCTGGGCAAATGAGTCATTCAACCGCTCTGTCAGAAGATGTCAAGGGAAAAGGTGCGCTCTACGGTCAAAGAAAGCAAGGGAAATCTCTCATTGTATTATTATTTTCAGTGTTCCTTAAATGTGAAGGAGGCGCGTGAAAAGTCAATATGAAGTAGAAGCTTCTAGGAGATGATCAGGACACCTTTCGTGAAAGAGCAAAGTTCATCTGTATCACCTGTCGTGCCGTTGATCGTCGATTTCCTCGAGCGGGCATCACTAACGTCTCCATTCGTCCCTATCACGAAACAGAGTGGTCCAATGATTCGCTCCAGGAACACGAGGATCAACATTCCTTTCGTTAAGAGCTCTCGTGAAGGAGTGTGACCATCTCGTTGGCGGCCGTCCTGGAGTTCGTTTGATGTCCCGAGGAATCCAGTCAGTAACCGCCCTGGTCCAACGGTCATCACTATATCGCATAACGTGTCCGGCCTACATGATCTTCGATTTCTTGGCGTATTCAACGGCATCCCTGATCTTCGTTCGTTGATGGAGCTCGGACTCCGGATTCCCTTCTGCACTTGCGTGTATAGGAGAATTACGGGCATCATCCTTTCCAAAGCGCGTTGAGTAGCGCTGACAGCATGCTCATCCTGCTTTCGTAGAGTCCGAGTGTCTGAAGCGTATTTCAACGCAGGAAGGACCGCAGTATCGAAAAGGTGAGCGCGGAGTAGGATGTTCTTCGTTTTCTTCACTACTCCCTCGATATTCTTAAATGCTCCCAACGCGGCGCGTTTCCTTCTGCACAGCTCTGGAGCTAGGTCGTTCACCATGTTGACTTCCCGACCTAGATGCACTTAGCTAGAGCACTCGGAGATACTCGTTCCGTTTAACGTGAAAGGAGCATCAGGTACCATTCCGTTTTTCATGAACATCGTCATCGTTAGGCTCAGCCTCAAGCCGATCTTTCCACAGGCACTATCAAACTCGGCCAGCATTCGTTCCGCCTGCTCGATGTTCGGTGTTATAAGCACGATGTCGTCTGCAAAGCGGAGGTGATGTAGGAAGCAGCCGACCTTCACTCCCAAGTCTTCCCATTCCAAATGACGCATGATATTCTCGAAAGCGGCACCGAAAAGTTTGGGCGAAATAGTATCGCCTTGCCGGACACCTCTCTTCACGTTGACAATGACTTCCTTGCAGAATGGTGAAATCTTGGTAGTGGAGTTGTCGTAGAGCTCACGAAGCATCCTTATATATTGAGTAGGAACACCCTGGTTGCCCAGGGGTTCAATTGCCGCTTCTGTCTCAACGGTGTCGAAGGCTTTCCTCAAGTCGATGAACGTAAGACCTAGTGGCATTTTGTAATCTCGCGATACTTTAATGAGCCTTGTTAGAGTGTGGATATGATCGATTGTACTGAACTCTCTCCGAAACCCTGCTTGCTCGCATGGTTGTCCTTCATCTGATATTCTGCCAATCCTGTTTAGGATGACACGAGTGAAAAGCTTGTAGATTACAGACAGCAGGCAGATTGGGCGATAATTGCCAATATCGTCTGGATGTCCCTTTTGGTACAGCAACACAGTCTTGCTAGTTTTTCACGACGTGGGCACATTGCATTCTGACAGGTACCGTGTGAAAAGCCTAGCCAGAGTTTTGATGATGACTGGTGGTATACTCTTCAAATGTTCTGGTTTGATCCTATCGGGACCGGGCGCTGTACAGTTCTTCATCGACGTGATGGCATGTCACATTTCAGAAGGGAGAACCGAAGGAGCAATATATTCGTCTTGCCTAAGATGGTAAGTAGGCAGGTAGACGTGGCTGTCGAAGAGATCCGAGTAGAAGTCGTGGATGACCTTCTCCATTGCCCTTCGAGATGCAGTGACTGTTCCGTCAGGACGACGAAGTGAGATCATCTTGGTCTTGTAATTGGCGAAGCTCCGTCGGGCTTTGAATGCTCTTTCCGGCCTCGGCGGCTTCGTCCATAAGTGCTGCTCTTCTCTCTCTCAGATCTTCCTTTATCGCTTCTCTGCATAGCTTCGCAAGTTCGGACGTTTGTTGGTGATTGCCTTTAACTCGCGCGATTCCACGCTGGCGTATCAGCCCGAGAGTCTTCGGAGAGAGTCGTCCTTTGGCTACTTGTAGACTCTCTGCTTTCCTAGCGCTATCGTGAAGATGTTCGACGAGCTGGCTGTACTTTTCATCGATGTTGTCGATAACGGAATCTTCCCAGTCACTCGCAAGGGAAGCGAAGTGGTCCCAGTTGATATAGGTCGTAGGGCTTCGTTTCCTAAAATTCGTAGCTCTCTCTCCATGCACTTAGAAGCAGAATCTAGCGAGGCGGAGACGATGGTCCGATCCCGTGCAGAACTTCGGAACAACAGCGACATCAGTCAGGCAAAAACTCCGATTGAAGATGATGTGGTCTATTTCATTATGGAAATTCTGGAACTGCGAGTTACCATGGATGGTTGTGTTGACATGATAAACTCGGACAGCCTTTCACCCTGCTCGTTACATATCACTACGTGAGTCCCGATGCGAAGCTCTTCAGCCGTTGTTCTGAAAACGCTTCCAACTCCTCATCTTCGTAGCTCGATATTGATGCGTAGGCAACGAAGATGGTTAGAGCTGGGGTTGAGCCACATCTTCTTAATCGCACACGTCCGATTCGAGTTGTTAGGCTTTCGTACGAATCGATGTTCATTGCCAAGTGCGTATTATGAGAACACCTACGCACCTACGCCGCCGACGCCTCTGCTGTCGCATGTTCCAAGGAACAGTTCTTCTCCAGTTTCAAATACAGCGTGCAGCGAGCGATGCCTTCTCGTCTCGGTCAGTTCGATGACGTCGAACTTGATCTTCCTAGCTTGCATCATTAGGTCTTCTATACACGCTTCCAATGCAGAATCAAAATTAGTCCATCAAAAACTTAAGCTCTATATCGCTCCCTCGAGTCCCACCGCTTCCGCCAGCGCTCTTCGATATTGACTATTCGGTTCGTCTATCCGTGTGACCTAGTGGTATAACAAAAGGGGAAAGCGATCCTGTAGCTTCATACCAGAGTCGTTTATCACATTCGGGAGATGGATTTGGGACAGTGTTTCAAATTACGTCCAGCGGTATACATCTCATCTGGAATGGGCACTGCCACCTAGTACCCTTCGCTCGTCAACTGAACTATTGTGAGCTCTGTGATTCAGAAACTACCATCACTACGATTGCGCATCTTAAATAGCATGATAAAATGCAAAATAGCTAATTCATGTTATCGTAACATATGCTACGACATATAACGAGCTAAATGTGTCTGTTTGGTTTGTTTCTTTGTGTATGTGTGTATGTATGAGCGCATCTGTGTATGTGAGTACGTGTGTGTAAGCGTGCGTGTGCTTGAAAAGAGGTTGATAACTCCTGTTCCCGTTAACCTAGAGTGTTCAAATTCGCTAGGAGTACAGGCTGAGGAGGGGAGCACAGCTAATAGTTGGTAGGAAGTTACCAAGCTGGACTTCTACCAGAGGGAATCAGGGGGATGGGAGGAATGCGCGATTCCGAGTAAAAGTACCTAATCAAGTTGGAATAAGTGGTGTATGAGCCAAGATACTTAAACCCTCAATACTTGGACAGTACTCCGGTTATGGCTGACGGGGCGCGCATGGCGTGTTAGAAGAGCGTTTGTGTGCTCTTGGCTGGGAATCAGTAACTCCTGTTCTCCCGGACCAAAGCGGCTAAATATGAGAGGAGTGCAGGTCGTGCTTCAATCCTCATAATGGAAGGAGGAGAGCCTGGAGTTATGGGCACTTTTTTGCAATCATGAGATAATGTTAGAAATTTCATTTCCTTCCAACTAGTTTGCCTGCAGGAAAGCACACAAAGTAATTCGCAGGATGCAACTGACCTTTTTCTTCCTCTGTAAGAGACATAAGTAAACGAAGTAGCAAGGGGCAAATTGATGGGTGACGCACCACTTTGTAGCTTTCTTGGCACCGATGATTCTGCTGATTAAGGGCGGCGATAAGCAAGAGGAGAAGGGCATCGAGAGAGGTATTCGAGGATACAATGGGCGCGCAGGACGGCTGCTTCGTCCTGCTACGACTCCACACCGTTCCCGTCCACCGAATTCCGCCCAACGTCACCCATGTTGTATCGCTGTTATTCGCTGTTATTATGATCATGGTCGACTGTTATTGTGGTACTGTTATTGTGGGCAAATGTCTCAAGCTATTGTGATCGTCTTTCACAGGATAACTGAAGAACTTGGCCAAGATTCACCAGTGGACCTAAAGATCCAGTACTTGCTGGCACGCAGCTTCAACTCACAACGTAGAATACGAAAACAAAAACTAAGACGATTGCACGTCTATATTGCAGAGAATGAAGCCCAAACAACCAGAGTCGTTATAACTGGGTAAATGATCACGACTATGAGAGCAAGCATTTCTATACCACAGGAGACGTGTGAAAACACGCTGAACCCTTTCAATTTTTGAGACACTTTTCTTGGTAGATGGACTTCACACCTGTGAGCAATATTCGACATGCGGCAAGACGCAAGCTTGGTCAAGGCGTTTTAGCAATGTCACATCAGAAGACTGCACATTACGAAACAAGACGAATAAGTTCCTGAACGCTTTCTCAACCGCTTGCTCAATGTGAAGGGAAAGCTTTAATTTTGAATCAAAAAACACACCAAGATCTTTGATGGATTGGCAGGCTGCAAGCTGAACACCATTTACGAGGTAGGCAGTTGCCTGGGAGTCGCCAAAATGCATGGTCATGGATTTGTTCAAATTGAGAGGAATGCCCCAGTGTTCAGCCCAGTCAGCCATTCTTCGAAGAGATACTCTCAGAGCGTCTCGAATCATCCCACAGTTATCCTGATTGTAGATCGCATATATCTTGATATCATCGGCATACATTTGCATATGGATATCCGAGGATGTCTTTAGAAGGTTAGGTAACTTCATTGTGTAAATCAAAAAAAGAGTAAGTGACAGAACAGTCCCCTGCGGATCACGACTCAGACAGGGAAACTTATTAGAAAAACAACATTTAAGTCTGACTGTAAAATATCTGCTGTGTAAGTAGGATCTTAACCGAGCTAAAAGTGTGCCACGAATACCAATTTCTTCCAGTTTGGCTAGCAGTTTAACGTGGGAGACTTTGTCAAACGCTTTGGACAAGTCGAAGTAGACCACGTCAAGTGACTTGCCTGAATTAAGAGTTTTGCAAAGGTCAAATAATGTATCAGAAAGATTAGAGTTGGTTGAGGATCTTGGAACGAAGCCGTGTTGTTCTAAAGGAATAAGGTGGTATCTTGAGAGCCAGGCTAGTAATCTTTCATTCACTATTTTTTCCATCACTTTGACAGGAGTCGGTGTAAGACTGATTGGACGGAAATTGCTAAGCAAATTAGAATTGGGCGACTTCTGAATAGCAGTTACAACGGCATCCCTCCACGGTTGGGGAAGATCACCCGAGAGGAAAGAGAGGTTGAACATAATCGCCAAGGGCCTAGAAAGGAAAGTATGGTATTTCTTGTACACTAGCTGTGGAATCCCATCATAAGGCTCGGTAGTGGAAGGGCGGAGTTTTTTGAGGATAGCAGAGGCACTTTATGGATGGAAGTTGCATTCAGAACAACTTTCGCTGACATACGGAATGTTATTTATATGCCAACCATTTGCAAACTCAGGTGAGTAGACACTTGAGAAATACTTAGCAAGAGCCTCGGCCTTCTCCACATCACTACGATATACTACTCCACCTTCATCGACTAGAGCAGAGGGAAACGTGTAAGACTTCAGCTTGTATCGGTAGTAGCGGAAAAGTCGTTAAAGGGGAGCCTGAGTTCCAAGACGACATTCATAGTTAGACAGAAACTTTCTCAAGTGGTAGTTCAAGCCGGAACAAACTTTTTTGTAGAGGAAACTGCTCATAGGGTAACTCAGCTCATGAAAAAGACGCTGCTTTTGCTGCAGTAAATTGTTAATATGAGGAGGATACTTATGGCAAGGATTTCTGGGGATCTCGAAAGGAACGAAAGCCGAAAGACTAGAATAGATAACATGACAGAATCTATGATAAATATCATCCATCGAAGCATATTGGTCATAAACTTCCTACCAATCTGAGTCATTGAGACCAGCAAAGTCTGCATTCTGGAAATCAGGGACTGGAAGGACAAGAGAGGTGCAAGATAATTCGAGGACATGAAAGGAAAGGACTGCATGGTCAGACGTAGCAAGAATAGGTAGTATTTAAACATCGCGAATATTATCCTTGGTTGACAAAACAATATCGAGGACATTCCCATTGTGGGTAGCTTGCTTGACATACTGCTGAAGCCCCCACTCACGGAAAAAGTTCAAGTAAGCAGCTCCGGTTGAGTTCAACCCAATAAGCAAACTCCAGTCAACATGGAGGTTAAAATCACCAAGAAGAATAGTATTGATGCGGACAGAAAGAGGATCTCTCAAAGCATCGATTAGAGTTTCATCATCAGCACTACTGGAATGAGGTAGGCGGTAAACCGTTATAACGCGAGTATAGGACGATTTGACCGGACAGAGTAGGTCTAAACAAATGCCCTCAGCTTTACCATGGCTGATATTACAAACAAAGTCAACTTGAAGATTTCCTTTTACCAGACAACAGACTCCACCGCCTTTACCCTTTGTCCGATCCATGCGATAGAGAAAATAGGGTTCATTGTTATTTCAGAGTTTACTTTATAAGAGGTTTCTGTGATAAGCAAAATATCAGGTTTAACGTGAGAAATGAAAGAATGAAGATGACAGATTTTGTTTACTAGACTACGAGCATTAATTAAGCAGCATTTTAATTGAAAGAACCGTGCCAGCTGCAAGGTTTCCCGAGCTGTTTCTCGGAAGGCGTTTTATATGCACGAGCTGATCCTTGTATACCAGCCACACCTTGCTGGACAAGCCTTTGTTACGATCCCGAGCAAGTTGCCTCAGCATAAAATCCCTCTGCCTTTCCTCCAGTGTCATACTTTTACGTATAAACACGGAAGGAAATCCAGCATTACGGAGCAGACGAGCATTGGCAAGGGCGGTTTACCAGTGGGAAGAAGCTGGGAGGGCAACCTTAACAAGACGGGAACGTTTTAGATCAGGTTTACCTATGCGATATATCTCGCATGGGCGGCATTCGACCTTCAACGCATCGAGAACCTTAGAGACCTTCTCCTCCAGGTCTTTTCGACGATCGGACGGGCGGAGCTCAGCACCTGCCTCCTCAAGACCATAGACAACAATGCTCCTAGCCTTTTTTCGCTAATGATCGACTCCGAGAATTCCCTCGGGATTTCATCCGACAGAGCAATGTAGGAGAGGTTCAAGGAGGGGGTCCTTATTACGCTCGATGATAGTCCTGAGGAGATCTGCACAAATATTTTACCCAGCTCAAGCTGATGCTTTTGACTACCAGGCACCTCTGCAGAAATCACATCACCTGTAGCATCGAGGCATGGATCTTTAGAAGGAATTTTCTTTTGAGTCCTACGCTGACTTCTGACCATTATAGTATGTATCTGATGAAAGGTGACCAGAAAAAGTCCAAGAAGGGAAGATTAATGACTTCACGGTAAAAAGTTGCTACGGAAGTCGTAAAAAGAACAAACGGAAGGAGAGCCAGCAGATGAACCGACCGCCTCGTAGATGAGAACCGAGTGAATCAAAAAATTTTGGAACGCTTCACGAATTGGCGTGTCATCCTATCCACATATCCTATTATGACGAGAGTCCAGGGTGCAGGTCAACAAGTGGCTTGATCTTTATGACTCGTCGTCTGGGCCTAAGTCTTACGCCTGGGGTTCGTATTTGGATCAAAGAGGTACCTACTTGGCCCTCCCCGGTTAGTTGTGTTGCCTAGGCTGACCTGCACTTATCTGCTCTTCTGCTCTCGCCTTATTTCATATAGTGCGATGACTCTATCTTAGCATCCCACACACCTCCTGATAACATAGTGTGGGTGCTCATGTGTGACTTAGTGTTTATTGTGAGCTGTCCGGGACCCACTATGCTCGGGGCATGAGTTGGCACTCCTGGCTCAAGGTCTTTTTTCCTTGAATGATTTTTCCATAGTTCGGGCATTGGCGTTGTAAGTGTGTCTGCGGAGGCGTTTTAATGTCACCTCCAGTTCCTCTTCCATGCTACTGCTTTTGAACTTTTTTGTATCCGCTTGCTGTTTGAATGTTCTTTTCCTCAATCTGTATTAGTATAATAGTTTCTGTTCATTGGCGCACGCATGTGCAATAAATAAATAAATAAATAAATAAGGCCGAGGACAACACATTTTACCAATAATCGGTAGCAGCGAGTGAGGACGGAGTCAACAGGCCGAGGTAAGCTAATAATAACCTTTCGCTCCATTCATTTCGGTGCAGTTTTCTTAGTTTCCTTGCCTTCGTAATCTCTGATCTGTTCGATAAGCGGCTCCTGTGAGCACCCTCCCTACTTTTTTTTCTTGGCATTAGGAGGAGAGTGTCATAACTCAGGCGTGACATCACTTAGATCGGGGTCGGAAGCCCGAACAGTCGAAAAATAACTGGCAAAGGCCCTCACAGCTTTCTGACTCTAATTTTTTTCTCTTGCCTCAGCTTACCGAGCTGACATTTTTCTTTCTCCTCTTTTCATAATCACTGCTAAAGGTTCCTTTTTTCAACTTGTCTTGGTTCCTTCTTACCTTTGATCTTAGGAAAAACTTATTTTTGAAGCACTTAAGTCATTATCACCTGCATCTCCTAGCCTGGCCAGACAGGGGGTGCAGAGAACCGTCCGCTCACCATCGTATCTTTCCGCAATTTCGTTTTCCTTTTCTTTGAAATATTACTTCGAAATTCTAGTAGTGAACGTCCGTACCTTCATACTTCCTTCTTCTCTCGCCTTTTGCCATATGCACTTTTTCGTCGTCTCTTTCCCTCTCTTTTTCTCTTTCTTTCTAGTAATGGGAAGATATGAGGGACGTCGTCCACGAATGGGATCAGGTTTTGCTCCCTATAGCTTCAAGCGTACAGAGTTGTAAAAGTGAATAACGTTAGTTCGGGGCTCATACTTTTATTTGTTTCTTCTTATTGCTCGAGGGTCATTCTTTTCTTTTACTCCTTCTTACTGTACTTCTTACCATGGGTGAATTATGCTCTCTCTGTCAGCGTTCAACGAGATCCGAGCTGAGGACGGCGGCCATGTTCACAAAAATTGCATTCTTTCTCACCGGCCGCAGCCTGCTCTGATAACTCCGCGATTTCCTTCCGGATGCCATTTGCCTCTGAGGCTTCCACTGCTTATATCTAATAGTTTTCTCTGCCCTGCTCGCCCGTCTCACAACATTCCATCTCACATTCCCTTTCAGCTTATCTCGAGCCTCATCAGCGCAAAGTATGCAGGCATATAACGGTAGCGCCAACATTCTCACGATAAATTCTTCCCCATAACATGTAATCCATGCACTCTGATTTCCCGGGAAAATTGCAGGAATTTTTTGCCTTCTTATCCCTCCCCTCCTCCACCACAAGAGGTATAAAGCTCAGTCTAACCGCGGTTCGAGATCTTCAATCTCGTATGGGGTCATACCTACTACTCGTAGCATGTCCAAGTCCTCTTCCTCGTCGCCGTGGGTGCTTCTGCCCAACCACCCGACACTAAACTTTTCTAAGCTGGAAGGCCACATGGGACCACTAACCTTCACCATGTTGTTCGACGACTGCTCGGACGACGCTACACTGCATTGTCGGGACGCCAAGATGATCCGAGACCTCACCCAGTCGGCGTTTCCCCAAGTGTGGAACAACACGTGTGCTTCAGCAGCCCTATTTACACGACGGATCAACGAAAGTATCAAGACTCTAAAGGAAAAACTCAACGAGTCCTCCGAAGCAGTGGGCAGGCGTTTGGACAGCCTCCCTTCCTTCGCCACGTTTCAACCTAAACTGCATTCAAGGACCGTCATCGTTGTCTGACGAATAGCGAGCGAATTTCCTCATCGGCCACCTTGAGTAGCCCGAGAGAAGATCGAAGAATTGGATGCACAGGACAAAAAGGTATACGCGACGGTAGTAGCTCACTTTATGGCGTTCTTTGAGAGACCACACTAGCGCTACGTAGCTCGTCAAAATTTATCCACCCGCCGCCAGAAGCTTGGTGAATCAAGCACGTCCTTCGCAACCCGCATCCTCAATCTGGTGCGAGCCGCGACCGCAACACATCCTTGAGGAGTTCGTCTCGCGCTTGCGCGGAGACATCCGCTATTTTCGAAGCTAGACGGACCAACAACTTTTGAGCAGGCGGTCATAAAGCCCAGACGGTGGAGCATTGCTGAGCGAAGCCACGGCCGATTGTCCACTACACCCTACTTCTCCTCAGGCCCCAATCCAAATATTGGCTCATCCAGATCATCGCACTGGACGGGGTGCCTCAACTCGACTATTATAGACTTCGCACGGGCGCCCCTGCAGGGAATCTCCAGCGCCACCAGAGTCCCGCACAAAGTGGGTTAACCCCAATAAGGATCAGGTGCTTTAACTGCTGAGGAATGGGCCACTTCGCTTCAAGCTGTCCCTCACCTCGTCGTCAGATGCCTCCGCGCCCCGCCAGTAGGGAGCCGTTACCCGGAAATGGTCCCGCGCGGTGGTAATCCCGCTAGCTTACCTCGAAACACTCTCAGCTTCTCGGCCGCACCACCCCAATCGGTCGAGGAGGTACGGCTCGGCAACACAGCCGCCATAGCCTACATTGCCACCTTGACCGCAACTCTCCGAGACACGCAAGATCAACTCAAACAGTCTAAGGCTAGGGGTACTGCTCTAACTCAACGTAACAACGAGTCAGCGCAAGCATCCACCCTCGAGCAATCCCACCCGTGCGGCAGGGAGCCTTCTTTGTCAGCGTCTCTCCCTGACGTTAGAGTGTTCTTCCGTACCGTGACGCTTCCTATCTCGATAACCAGCCCGGGATTCACTCAGAAGGCATGGTTGTGCCCATCTGAGGATCCCGCTACGTTGTTTTCATTGCCTGACTCTGCAAACTGTTCAACATTGTAGCCGAATGTGTCATCGGATCCTATGAAGACTCCATTTCGACTGTATCGGCCTGCACGCAACTGTATTCGACTCCAGCGTTTTTGTGTAAGACCGCTCGTCACTCGGTATTTTATTCCGTAAGCTTCTTCGGATCCCACTATGAGACTCATTCTGAGACCCTCATGGCAATTTCCGGGGAAGAGTGTCGCAGGATGACAGTCCACCACCGCTGCATGCATCGCGACTTATTCGAGTCCTCCGAAATTTGGCGCACAAAAAACCTTCCGGCTTTTTCTTTTCCTTCTGCCCCATTCGGCTGTTGCACTAGCTTTTCTGCTGCGGTAACCAACTGTTTCTTTTACCCTACCACAGTACACACACGTCACTCCGACGCTTCACCTCAAACACCCGCTGGGGATGCGTCTGAATGTACCTAGAGCGAGGGATTATGCTCATTGGCAGATGGCCCGGTTCTTATCTGGTCCCCAGATAAGGAGGAACGCATACGTTTTCGTAAGGCGAATGCTCGGACTCCTAAAGAATATCTAGTTCAGTGCCGATAAAGAATTTGCCCTTTGCTGGAATAATAGGTCTTCTGTGGTTACAGACCTTGGACGGTAGCTTACCATTACTCATCAGGGTTACGCCGTCGAAGTTTCTCGTCAGCAGTCGCGTAGCTAACTCGTCGTCGGCGTAGTCACCTCAGATCATCTCGCTGCCCAGCTGTTAGCGGTAGAAGGCGTCACCTATAGTTCAATTAGCGCGGTATCGTAACGCTTGGCAGGTCATCTGTGACAGAAGTAACACGTTGTCCATTGCATTTCATAACGCCCTATCGGCGCAACCGACTACAACAGTGCGCACCCTGTTGGGCCGGGAAGATATCACGGCCACATATTGGGCGGAGGTACGTCCAGGTTCGGCGTTGCATCAATCTCCCACTAGTGAAACTCCGCTTACCTAGCGGTAGTCGCATGCAAGCATTCATAGATTCGCCTATTCCGGATAGATTCCGGATTGTCCAGAAGCAGGCCACCCGAATCTATTGCTCGGAAACCGACCCCTTTTTGTTCGCGTCTCCCTCCGGCATCCGGTGGTTCTCCTCATTTTGGACGGCTGATGGTCCAACCTCCCTCCTCAGGAAGTGACGAAACTCTCTCCATCACAACTCTTATCATCTTTCCAGCTAGCACCACCACTTTCGGTTTTTCATAGCTTGATTCTAACTAATTTCAGCGAAGTGGCGGATGACCATCAAATACAAGAGTTGTGGATCAATGACCACGCACGTCACCTCGTGCATTTCGCTGAGACCATCAGCGCTCCCACGGAGATGGGAAAGGCATCAAGTCCGGCCAGTTGGAAGTTTTCTTCCTTTTTCCTTGGATGTTTTCAGCTTTTGATGCATGGGTTACATTCTGCTGTTTAATTGTTTCTTTTTCTATTTTGAAATCATTAGTTCTTCTGTATATCAGATTGCACTCTCTCAGTCGGCCACTCCCCATTCAGTGTTCTCTTTTTAATCCTCTCCCGCCAAGATGACGAGATTCCCCGGTGGGAGTCTCCAAACGGCTACCGGCGTAACAAATGTACGTCGTATCCCCAACCTTAACATTTCAAAGATTGACATCGACTTCTTGTCAACCTGCCTCCCCCCACCCGAGCTGCGCTAGTTACCACAGCGGTGCTATCCCTAGGCAGCTCTCAACCATATTTCATCGCCTAGGTCCCAATCGAGGTCAATCGTGTACACATGCTTGCGTTTGTGGATACTGGTGCAGGGGTTACGGTCGCGAGTCAAGTCCTACTAAAGTCACTGGGGATTTTTTAGCATGGAAGCTTCCCCGGTCCCAGCGGTTGTCGGTATGGCTGGGATTCCCGTCAAGTTTGCGGGCTGCGCCTTGCTATCTCTGCACGTTGGGAAGCTGACCCTTTTCCAGCGGATTCACTTTACAGAGAACAATCGCATCTCGCGTGCCGCCGACGCTTACAACCTCACTTTGGGAACGACTTTCTCCAGCGTCTTCCCTCCTGGACCCTTAACTACCACGACCAATTGTTCATCATGAAAAACGGGGTCATACTCTAGTTTCATCGACCTCAGGCAAACCCAGCACAGCCGTCACCCCGGCCAGAGCAATACCTGTTCACGCGGCGATGACTACGGTCATTCCTCAGGCATCTATAGTCATGCTGCCGTGCTGTATTCGGAACACAGTGCTCAACGGTGCTATCAAAGGCTCAGTGCTGGCACCCGAGTGTACAATGGTAACGCCAGCCGTCTCGCAAAAACATCGTCCTCTGCTATTCCTCAGCAATCCCACAGACTCCCCCAAAGTAATCTATAAGGGACAAGGGCTCACGACAGCCCACCCTGTGTAAGAGCTACCCGACGGCATTCTTAGGGAATTACCGCAGTGTTTTCAGCAACTCCGCTCTGAACTCACCTACTATGCCAACTCCTAATATTTGTTAATCAATTACCAAAGATCTCTCCGAGGCCAGTGTGTCGGAAGACCAACGTTCTCAGCTTCGTCAGCTTTTTCATGAATTCCAAGATCGAATCTCGACGTCGTCGTACGACTTAGGTTCGTACGACCACACGCGCATTACCATCAAAATGACATCAGAAATTCGTCTCGTACGTAGCGGCCTACAAGCATACAGGCTCTTCTTCAGAAAGAACATCATCAAACAATTGGCATCGGCGAGGATCGTGGAAAGTGACACACCGTGGCTCCATAGCACCGTGCTGATTAGGAAAAAAGCCTTCTAAACGACATCACCATCCCAGACCGTTACCCGCTCCCACAAATCGAAGATCTCTCAACACGGGTCGCCGATACTATACCTTATTGGACCTAGCGTCCGGTTACATGCAGCTCCTCCCTCGCCGAGACAAATGCTGATGGGCCACGCACAGGGGCGCTTACCAATTCGTCTATCTCAATTTCGGACTACGGAGCGCAGGCACCTACTTTTGTAGAGCCATGTCCCGCATTTTAGCATGTCTCGACGATAACTGCCTGGCTTACCTCGACGATATCATCGTTTTCGATAACGATTACGAATCCCACTTGACATCTTTTCGTGAAGTCCTCGAAAGGTTCCGAATTTTTAAGATCAAGTTTTCCGTAAAGAAACTCACCAGCGTCGCTCGCTCAACCATAACTTTTTTATAACACGAGATATCGGGCACTTCCTATTCCCCAGCGGATCGCAATCCCAGGGCAATCTGAGACATGCTAGCACCTAAGACTGTCAAAGCGGTTAAGGGATTTTTTGAATGGCTAACCTTTCTCGCGAATTTGTTAGGAACTTCGCATCCATAGCAGGTCCGCTCTACGCCCTATGTAAAGACGGAGCGGCCTTTCAATAAGACGAACCCCAGCTTTTGCCAAGCTGAAGGAAGTGTTGGGAAGCCGCTCCTGACTCGGGTTCCCTCAGAGCGAAGAATTTATTCCCCATACCGACGGCAGTGAAACTGCGGTAGGTGTCGCGCTTTTGCAGGCGCAGGGCCCGGGGATGCCGCAAGTGGCTATTGGCTATTTTAGCAAGATACTCTCCCCAGCTCAGCAAAAATGGAGTTCTACGCATATTGAACTTTTCGCGATTATCATCGCTGTACGTTTTCTCCCCGCTACAATATCCGGCAACCATACAAGAGACTCTGCGACCATCGGCCTGTCACCTACCTCTTACGATACAGGAAACCCCACGACAATCTTGCACGATGGGTCGTGGAATTACAGAGTTAGCTGACCCCGGCCTCAAGTTCCGGGAAGAATCACCAAAATCTGGTGACATCATCGAGTTCCCCCGCTGTCTGCTCCACCATGTTGATGTTTCCTCAGGGAGATTGAGGGCACTAACGCTTACTCCACCATTGTACATCCAACCATATGTCGCTCTCTTGACGCAGAACTCTCATGCATGTCTTGAACACGGGCTCATACCCGCCAAATCACTCTAAGGGTTGTTAGAGGCATGTCACACATATATCGATCAGTGCGTCCCCAACGAAAATGGGTGTCTGTCTCCAGACCAGCAATCGTAGTTCCTCAAAAATTACGGGAGCCAATTTTCATAGCTCTACACGACAGTCCAGTAGAAGGAGGGCAATTCGGTTGGAAGAAAACTCTACACAAGATAAGCCGGCGTTTTTTCTGGCCCACTAAGCGAGAGAACGTTTTCAAATACGTTCGCTCGTGCGACGCCTGTCAGCGCCAACGTCCTCACCAGTTGGCTTGAGGAAAGTTGATCCCAATCCACGCACGAGCGATTTCAATAAAGTCTTCGTAGACCTTAGCGGGCCCTACCACACTACCCCTCGGAAGAGCAAATACATATTGTGTCTCATAGATCACTTCAGTAAGTTCGTAATCACCGAAGGCATGGAGAATTGCACGGCGGTCAGAGTCGCGCACGCCATCATGACTCGAGCTATTTTAATACATGGGACCATGTCCGAGATAGTCACAGACAATGCGTCGTACTGCAGCGAAGACCTCTTTACGAAGTTAGGGCGACTCCTACGGATTGGACACTACTTCACGCTTCCTTATCACCACGAAGGGAACGGGGCAGGCGAACGCATATTCAAAACCTGTCAAGAGATGTTACGTACCTACAACAATGAAAATGAGGATAACTGGGACTGGTTCTTACTGGCCCGCACGCTCACGTAAAATGCATCTACACATAGTAGTACCAACGGAAGTCCCTTCTTCCTCATGTTCGGGCGGGACCCTCTTTTCAGCACTGGCCTACAGATTCGACACAAGATAGAAGGCCATGTACCAGTTCCAGATGATGGCAGCGCTTACAAACAATCTTTAGTTACAACTTTACACGCACGAAGATACGACCGTAGCCATCAGCCTCCATTCAGATGGGCGATCGGGTGTATTGACGCGACTATGCCCCCAAGCCAGGATTACCTCCCGAACTATGTAACCTGTAGAAAGGTCAATTTCGAGTCATCAAAATTAATCACCCTCACCTTACCATCGTTAGTATTTCCTCGCCCCAATCTAAGCCTCGTAAATTGCATTTGAATCAGGTGAAGAACTGTTTCGATATATCGGGGCCTGTCTTAACACACTCATGGCACCCAGAGGAAGAACTGGGAAGGCTAAGCCGAGCGAACGCCTTTTTGGCAGTACCGGTGATTGGCTATAACCACACCAGTCTTTCAAGTAACGAGACAGCTCCAGCCTCAAAATTCAGACCATCTCATAATTACGATACACGTCTCAGAGCACGCCTACAGTCGCTCTGACGAAATATCTCATCGCTCTAAAGTTTCTTACCTGTTCACTGTTTGTTTTTTTCCTTCTTCTCATACAACTTCGAGGTTGTTCGGAAGTTTTCGCATCGATCAACGCCTTTGTTACTTTGTTGCTACAAATGGTCTAGTCGCTTAATATTTTCTATCGCTGGGCTCCATTTTCTTCGCGGCATCCGGTTGGGGTCCTTGACCTGACATCTATTTTCATAATCGTCTTATTTCGGGCTTCTGAACATCTGAACGATCTCTTCACGGACCTAGACATGGGTAAGCGTTCATTCGTGGCCACTCTCAAGAGTAGTTGTTTTACGAACAGTTCTGTTCAGAAAACGATCCTTTACACGTCTCAACATCGACGAATCCAGCTAAGGACAGCACGACAGCAGCCGAGTCGCTCCCATCAGCAGCACCAGTGGACACCCAACAAACACCACTTGCTGAGGCTTCTGCCCACCCGTACTAAACCACATCGGTACCTCTCGACGAATCGACTGATCCCACCGTAGCTCTAGACCGTCCGTCTGCAGCCCGAACGACCACCATCTGAATCTGCAATACCGTCGTCGAGTTGGCGCGACCTTCCCCGTCAAGGACCACCACGTGCGCGTCCTCACGCAAAAGCTTTCGAAACAATACGAGGCCCCATTTTCGACATCTTAGCGTCGGATTCTCTTCTTACGCCGTTCCTGCAATCGTCGAGGCCATCGATAGCCAATACCATCTTAGACACGGTGTACGCGAGCCGCAGGCGAGTCTCTTTCGCATCACCTGTACTTTCAACGGGACGCTTACACACATCAATTCGAATAGGATGTAGGAACCTACATTTAGGAATGAGCAGACCATAGCTATACAACTAGGAACTGGGGATTATCCTATACTCGCCATTCAAGCGGCTTCTGGATCAGGAAAAACGCTTGTCGGAGCAGTTATCGCGGCACGTCTATCTTCCGCAGGTCAATTAGTTATCGTCACATCCACCACAAACGTAGCTGTAACACAATTTACAGACACTCTGCTGCGATTGGAAGACTACATCCACTTGCACATACTGCGATTCCTATCCGACTCCGCACTGGAGGAAGGAGCACCAACTACAGCTGTAGGTCCACAATCTTCTCAAGGGTCTTCTAGCAAACTACTCTGACTAATTCACGAACGAAGGAACCGACCGTCTAACGACATATAACCGAGGCCGTGATTTAATAGAGCGCCTGATTCTCAGACCAGACACCACTACCAATCTGACGGATAAAGAACGAGAAGAGTTCCGCATAGCAGAAAAACAAAACTCGGAGGCCACTGAAGACGCGGTCAAAATCATGTTACGAGTGCGCTTTCCGTTCATTATGCGTATAACCACGGCGTCGCTGCTGAACACAACCAAACTAAGAAGACTTTTTTTCGGACGTGTTATCAATGAGCAAAGTGATCGTAGGAGATGAAGCGTCGCAGATACCGGAACACTCTCTCGTCGCTATGCTGCGACGATTCCCTCTAACCAAGCATATCTACATTGGAGATGTTAATCGGTTAAAACCCCACGTACGCTCCCCGCGGTCCTCGCAAGCCGCGCGATTGGGCGCCAAAGGCGTCACGGAACTGCTGATGGCGAAGGAAATCCCGCTGGTTCAACTTGTCGCTACATATAGAGCTCATCCTGTTCTTAACGCATTACCAAACAGACTCGTATACGACAGAGACCTCGTTAGCGGCACCCCAGCACGACGGCGGCAGATGCTCACGAGGTACTTTAGGTTACTGAACCCTGAATTACCTTTAGTGGTCATAGACGTCCCGAGCAGGTCCAGGTTATCACCATCGCGGTCTCATTTCAACGAACAGGAAGCGCAGTGTTGCAAGGAGCTGATTTGCGGGTTGCTCTCTAAGGATATACCAGCCACGTTGATCGGAGCGATCAACTTCTATAAGGACCGACAACGTCTTATGGAAGATACAGCAGCAAAACTAGGCGTACACTTTTTCACGGTAGATTTCGTACAAGAAAGAGAAATGGATATCGTAGTAATATTGACGACTCGTACGACGGTTGACCGTTTTCAGGAGAATTCATGAACGACCTAAAAAGGTTAAACGTAGCTGTCACACGTTGTCGACACGGTCTTTTTATTCTAGCCAATGTTGGCGCTCTTCATGGCCTACACAACTGGGCACGTCGATACACTGGGCTTACGAACATCGTACGGTCATCGCCGCATCCCATCTTCCAGATATCTTCGCGTAAAACATTCCGGAACCAGGTGAGGCGCAACAATTTCCGCGTAAATTCTCTCTTCACTATTACTAATTAGATTTCACGTCTAAGGACGGACGTTCTGTGAGGGTGGGGAGGTGTAAGAGACATAAGTAACCTAAGTAGCAGATCGATGGGTGACTCATCACGTATTACAGGCGGCGACAAGCGAGAGGAGAGGGACATCGAGGGCGGTATTCGAGGACACAACCGGCACGCAGTACGGCTGCCTCGACCCGCTACGACTCCACACCGTTCCCGTCTACCGACATCCGCTCAACGTCGCCCATGTTGTATTCGCTGTTATTCGCTGTCATTATGATCATAATAGACTGTTATTGTGGTACTGTTAATGTAGATAAATGTCTCAAGCTACTGTGATCGTTTTTTACGGGAGGAAGCCGAGGGTAACCCCTTCATCGGAAATTCCTTGATTCATCGAATACTTTGATTTTTGCACGTTACAGAGTTGCACATTACATGCCCGTGGAAAATTTCACATTTTCTTTATTTTTTCCTCATAAGTCTATGAGTTAGCACAAGTAGATTCATAGTTCAGAAAATAGATATCAAATCAGCCCAATTTCGCAGAGAGGTGAGCAGTCTCCCACTAATGCAGGCTCACCCTACTGGCGATTGCAAGAGGCTGAGAAGTAGTTCAATGTAGCCTGAATGTGCGTACTGAACTGGTTTTGCTACTGGGCCAGATAAGTTCAAAACGTAAAACAGTAGCAACTGAGATATATGCGAATTTCGGTAAACTTCAAGACAGGCTGGGCGAAACCTTGGGAGGAATTAGCTACTCAACTGCATCCTCCTCCCCTTATTCTTCTCGGTATGATTTTCTGCGTGAAGTGATTTTAGCGTTTTTGATACGAGACAAGAGAAATGAATAAGAATCCAATCAACGACCACTACTTCTCAAAGCTGGAAGGCTCCACTGCTATAGAAAGCGGGCTTTAATCTCGGATCATTCTTCTTTTGAATTTCCATTGTTTTCACTACTGCTGAACTTTCGTAGCCTCCCTCTATCTTGTGAAGTGAAAATACAACTCTTTTAGAAATTATGATAGTCACCTATTAGAGGGATATCTGAGTCGATGACGATACAAGTCACATGCGAATTTTAACTTTAAGATCCTATCATTCTAAAAAAACTATAAATATGGAATCTTAATTAATCTGAGAAGTCATAAACTCAAGAACTACCTGTGTCATAGAATTAAAGGATAAAGAATAAAGTTCTTGGCGTTAGTCAATCCCGTCTGGGGGATGCGCCCCCGCACTCAACTTCCATTTAGAATCGTAGTGGCGTAGTGCGTGCGTATGTGGCCTATACAATGAATTGCGGTGGCCAGCCGATGTACAAGTCAGTGCTTTTATCCTTCCTGACGAGTCTGATACCAATCCACCGACCCTGGTGGGATGGAAGGCTTGGTTGGCCTAGGCGGGCAGCGGGATATGTGTCAGGGAATTACTTCAGGAAATTCTGGTTTGTTCATATCAATGAAATTGTTAATGGACATCATAACAATGCAATGCCCTAATAATGCTTCTGAAAATAGTTTCTAGTAAAAACAGAACCGATAGTTGGTGTTTTATGATCGCGCCACGCAGAGGCTACTGCACTTGATCACATTCTTGTTCAAAACCCGTTTACCACCACATCAAAGCATTAACTTTATTTCCATCTTATCTAAAATAGAAGAGCATGTAATAGACCCGAGATCCGTCAGTAAGAAAACGCGGCCGAGCAAAGATGTAGTAATCACGTCAGTCTTTATTCGAATGCCGAGTCGAAGATAAGCAATGGGAAATTCGCTGAAGATTCCTGAAACCCTGTCTAACATTGCAAACACTAGTCCTTTAGGCCCGCTACATCCTTGCCATCCTTGCGAAACCACAAGCTAACACATCAGGAAAGCGTTTTTCGAGTTTGATTGGTTGATTCGAGACAGTCGACAAGAAGCATCTGATACGTAGCCACTTCCACATGCAAACCTTCTTCGTGTGTTTGAATACGAGTCCTTGTCGAATTTTTTCGCATCATCTGTAGGCACTGTTACTGTGTCTACAGCGTAGATATCATTCTATAAAGAAGTCATCACCAACGTGAAAAGAGAGCTTCGGCAGGGTGATACCATCTCGTCAAAACTTTTCAGTGCCATTCTCGAGAACATCATGCGTCATATGGAAAGGGAAGGCATGAGAGTGAAGGTCAAAGACCGATACTTACATCATCTTCGCTTTGCAGATGACATAGGGCTTATAACACCGAACATGGCGGAACAAATGCTGACCGAATTCGGCAACGCTTGTGGAAAGATCGAATTACAACTTAACCGAATGAAGACGACGTTCATGCGGAATGGAGTGGTACCTGATGCTCTTTTCACGCTGAACGGAACGAACATCTCTGAATGTTTTAGCTATGTAAATCTAGGTCGAGAAGTCAATATGATGAGCGACCTAGCACCATAGCTGAGCAGAAGAAAAATCGAGGCGTGGGGGCAATTAAGAACATCGAGAGCGTAGTGAAGGGAACAAAGAACATTCTTCTCACTTTTCCGACACTGCTATCCTTCCTGCTTTGACATACACCTAGAGACTTGAACTTTACGAAAACAGGATGAACATGCAGTTGGCGTCATTCAACGCGCTATGTAAACGACGGGGCTCGGAATTTCCCTATACACGCAACTGCAGAAGGGAATCCGGGTTCCGAGCTCCGTCGACGAGCGAAGATCAGGGATGTCGTTGTATAGCCAAGAAATCGAATATCAGATGGGACAGGAATGCCATGCGATAGGAAGACGGGCACTACGTGCGTCTGAGGACGCACATGGCAACTTGCGCGGCAAATTTCGTGGCGATTTGTACGACTCCGACGCCAATTTTCGGGGCACAAACTCGGGGTAGAGTAGTTTGGTGGAGTCAGATGAACCTTCTAATCTACTTTACTTCAAATTTGAATCTCCAATGATAGGCGCTGAAGTCGTTAAAATCGTTACGTACTTCGCAGCGAAATTCGCCGCGCGCATCCTCGGACACACGTAATGTCACATACCCCATGCGATATAGTGATGGCCGTTGGATCAGGGCGGTTGCGAACTGGATCCCTCGGTACGTCAAACGATCACCAGACACCACCAGTGTGACGGTCCGACTTTTTCACGAAATCTCTGAACGGAAGGAATGTTTGCCTCGTGTCCCTCGAGCGAGTACGATTTACTGAATTGTTCTGGCTCGAGGCGGGAAGAATTGAGACGTTATTAGCATTCGTTCGAGGAAATCGATGATCGGTATGCCGACGGGTGATTACAGGTGATCGTAGACGCTAAATCTCGACCATATCTGTCTCGAATAGGGCTTCGATTGGCTTCGAAGGTATGCCGGTTGTTGAAAATAATATTCTCTCAAAACTGTAAGGACCACTCTAATATCCTCTGAAATTATTCTTTAGTATCCATCAAGATGCTGCAGTTATGTAGCCTGAGAAAGATAGCTAAATTAGATCATCAATAATTAGAAGACTCAACGCAAAAACTCCTTGATGAGGTATACAGAGCAGCTGTTGGTATCTTGCAATGAAGGCTCTTGTGCAGTTAAAATGTTGGGTGTCGGCAGGGATCGCAGTCACCTGTAGAAATTAGGAATGGACTCGTTTTTGTAACACAACGATGAATTGTATAGGTATTCGTTAGTAGAACTGGAAGCATTTTGGATGAAGACTGAGATATTCGACCCAGTACTTGAAAAGGCAAAGGCAATCAAGGAATCATCTGTGTCTGCCGTTCATTATGGTACTACACGTACATTTCCTATGTGCCATGGATACTCATTGATTTATGGTCTTTTGGATCACGCCATTGAAGAATCAAGATAGCAGTCACATAGTTCTGATTCATTGCCCAATTGGAGGTGTAAAAGTAAGGGACGCATGATTCACGCATGATGACGTGATCAACGCCACTTTTCGAAGACGCGAATTGCGGTATGCTGGAAACATTTGTGATGTGGGCCTGAATGCAATATTACACCCTTCGACCACCCACTCCTATGCTTAGCCGACCGCTGCTAATCCTTGCTATTCTTTTCGCAAGGCAGATTCCCTCTTTCACTCAGTTCTTTTTATCATCCTCATTTTTAGACTAGATCGTGAACGACTTCTGAAAGAAAAAAATGACTAGAAACCAGGGCAAAATTCACTTGTCTTTGCTCCCATGTTTTCCTACTACACTATGACGAATATCTACTCGCATCATCACTTACGGGATTTGATGTAATCCGAATATGTTCATTCTGAGATTTCCCTAACAATCGCTGCTTTCCTCTCTTCGAATCTTACTAATCCACCAGGGCGACACAGTAACGGCTGCCTGCCAAAGTTATATTGTCAGTATCTTCAGTCTTTGACCCTCTAACTTCTAGTGCCTGTAATGGATTAGAGCTTAGAGCTAATCAAAATATTGGAATAAAATAACATGAGATGGAAAAGCAATCGTTTTTGTTCTTGGTACTGCACACTGCCAGTGTCAAGCCGAAATTAAGGATGAGAATCCCCATCAGGGATAAGGGAGAAAGCCTCACTCGGTCATTTAAAACGAATCTAACGAAGAGGTTTGAAAGAGTAGTTAAATGCTGCTTCTTCAACTCTTTGACGGCTGTACTCCATCTTTTCTTTCCTTTTCTGCAGTAAAAGCTCTCTAAACCAGAAAACTAGCTCGTTCAAGACTATTTATAAAGTCTTAAACGAGCTATTCTGATTTAGGGAGCTTTTACTGCAGAAGAAACTTTGGGTACTACAAAAGCAATACTCCGACTTTAAACCTGTTCCCAATGGCAGCGCCTTTTCTTGGATCGTGACGAGGTTTAAAAATTATCTGCTGGTTTATTCAACGATGTAGATTGAAAATGAGTAACATACTGATGCAAAATTTATGAACCGTAAGAAACGTTTCCAATGACGGAAGAGTTCTGCTACTTCGACCTTTCACAGCTTTGTCTCGTGGCGCGTAATTGCTTTTACGTCATTACCTCTGAGTAACTCCTTGTTTTGAAACTCTGAACTGTCTTTTAGCTCCGCAATCATCGCGAAATGCCTCAGTATGGTGACGTTGGAAATTCAACTCAGTTTGGAGAGCGCGCAACAAGCCCAGCATATTCCCATCTTGGAAAACATAAGGTTTGCTCTATTCCTGATTTCTTGAACGCAATTTCTCCACTTTCTTAGTGAGGGGTGCTGGTTACTAGTCTTTGGAATAATATGCGACTCCAATGATAAAGGCGACTTCTAAAGGGCTCTCTACAAGTCAATTGGTAGTTGGACCCCAAATATTTCTCTCAAGTCAAACTATCGCTTTTATTTTTTTCACCTGAGAGTTAGGAGAAAAATAATTGCTGGGAGCTTGCTGCATGGGAACTCGTCCAGACCAACAATTTCATTGACAATAACACAAAAAGCATGGCAGGAAAGTCGCATGGGCTGTTGATCGCGCCCGTTGTCAATAGCCGGCAGTATATGTGTAGGCGGTCGAGAATTCCTCGCTGTAACACACTCTTGGCACATAATTACATTACCGTGTACACATTTGCTTCCATTTTGACTCTAATAAAGTGAATAGCATGAAGAAGGAAGGTGATGATAGAAGAAGCGAGCGAGTAATATACGCTACATCATGAGGCGTTTTTTTTCAATTTTTTTTGTAGTGCTCCCGCGATGCTTTCTAGGCGAAGCGTGAGAACGGAATGTAGAGTCGGTATCACGTATGGGCTCAGGTTCGCTTCGCAATTTGCATGGATTGAGCAATCGCCTTAGAACTCGAGGCTACAATCGCCGAGAAAGACAAAAACCTTGCAAGGTTGTGTTTTCTATCTTCTCTTTTGAGATCAGTCCAGCCTGTAGAACATGTCCTCTTACTCCACTTTTATTTAGAATCTTGGTGGCGTTTGAAGGCGTATGTGGTCTATGCAACGACATGCGGGGGCCAGCCAATATAGCAGTCAGTGCAATCATTAGTATACGTAAATAAATATATATGTATAACGTGCTCGCGTCTGTCTGTCTGTCTGGCTGACTGACTGGCTGACTGTCGCACAATTCGATATTACCTCAAGTAACACCTGGGTAGGTGGGATCAGGTTGGGCCGAGCATAGGGTCAGATTACCAGAGTTTCCTAATTTGGTCTCATAACAGTCCAGACGCCGGAAAAAAGTGAGCAAAGGTGAGGGATGGGTCAACAAATGAAATGAAGGGGCTCATCTTTGGTGAACTGCGCGTTCTCGCAGTGGGCTTGATGGGTTACTCGATACAACGAAAGCGTGAAGGCCAGAAAAATATAAGAGTGAACGAGGCCGCACGTGTGCTGGGCTTGCATAAATTTAGCGAGACTCCGCCCATGATGGGCGTGGCGAGAGTTTGAATTGAAACTACCTTTTAAAAATGGATATAACTTTGTTCAGAAACATTTTAGAGCGCGAGAAAATAGCGGTTAGTGGTTATCGAAGTGGTCAAACATCGAAGTAGGCAGGGTCTACGGTACAAGATTTACAACTCTGTCTGAAGACGTTCTTGATATTCTACACATGAGTTATCATCATTACATCATTACTATGAAATCATCATCGTTACTTACTAAATATAGAGTGTTCTGTCTGCCTACCACGAAATTCCGCATCACCTGAAAAAGCTCGTGGAAAAGTAAAGAAAGTTCTGGCTAGATGGGGTCTAGGCTGAGGTCACCAGTGCACATAGGAGCTCAGGGCCGCTACCCGCTCGTAAGCGGCGGAAATGAACTCATAACTCTACTTGCCTATAGCTTTGTTGTGAAGCAGACGTTAGCGCGGTGCCCAACTGGTTATACTATAGAAGGCTCGGCTGGCCGCGAAATCGAGATTCAATCCCTGGACCGTGATAGTGCGTCTCTTGGCAATAAACCACCTTCTGTTCTTCTTCATCAGTTTATCACTTCTGCGCTTCAACTTTCTTGATGCCAAAAATTTTCAATAACTACTTCTTCTCTGATGGGATTAGCGGCGAGAAGTTCATTGTACCGCCTAACTATGTAACGGCTGACCCAAGCTCAACGATGTCGTAAAGACCATTACACTCTGATTGTAACTGTGGTAAGGTGGTTGTCTCATATCGAGAAAGTATGCTTGAATCAACTTATGGTCAGCTATTCTGCACCTGAAAAAATTTTAAATGACGGGTCCGTATTGACAATGAGGTGAAGGAAACAAACGTATGTATAAGTTGAGAGTTAGAGAAAAACGTTTGCAAGTCTTACTTCTTACTTATACTCATATGGCTCGTATTCACTCTTGTGCGAGCGCCAGCAACAAACCATTCTCTTCCGTCTCTCGCGATCGCCATCCATGGTAGGCTCAGAATTCGACGAAGATGGCGATATGAGGAGTTGTTCAGCTGCTTTCACAGCTGTTTCACATGATCAACGAGCATATCCCCCATCTCGCAGCAGACTTACCCTTCATCCTACGCGAGTGCACTCGACTGTTCTTCTTGCCAATCTGTCATCATCTCTTCTCATTATATGACCATCCTACCGAAATTTTGCAGTCTTCATGCGTTTCGCTGAGTCGCGGATTTGAAACATTCTGCGTATATTAAGGGCTGCGGAGTCCGGCTCAATATTGAGTGAGCCGGTTGAACCTCAAAAGACATCGCTCGAGCGCTCTGTGACTTGCGCTCAAAGCCTCTGACGTGGATGCACTGGTCACACAAGTCTCCGACCAGTAAGAGAGCGCAGGAGGAATAGGAAGAACTGTGGAATCAAACAGCGCGAACTTCTTGGTCAGCCAGATGATTGGTGATCCTTCTAGAGGTCCGAAGGCTGCCCATCTGCTTTTGCCGCTTCACCAGATCCTCTCTCATGTCGCTGTCCATTTCCATGAAACGGCCGATATAAACATAGGACGGCCCAAAGGTCCCCTTGCTAAGTGCACAATCGGCATTAATTTGATCCTCGTCAGCCCAAGCATTCTTGATGAACCGTGCCTTTGTTTAGTTGATCCGCAGCCCTACCTTCTTTTCTGCTTTATTGAGCTCAGCAAGCACAGTTTTAGCTTCCGCAATGCTGCTTGAAAAGAGAACGATGTCGTCCGCAAAGCGGAGATTTGAGAAACCGTCCGTCCACACGAATGCCCTTTTCGTTCAAGTTTAGCTACTTCATAACCCACTGCAACGCTGCTGTGAACAGCTGCGGCGAAATATTGTCGCCTTGTCTCACACCCCCCCCCCCCCCCCCCACCCGGACCCTCGGAATCCGGCCTGCTCTACACGTTGAGCTTCATTCAACGTTCTTGATATGGGGGTTAAAATTATCTTCGTGAACAGCTTGTAAAGCACACTTGACCAGCTTCATGGGCGGTTGTTGCTAAGATCATCACGATCTCCATTCTTGTGAAGAATGACCATCCGCGGGTTCCTCCACTGATTGAGGATCTTCTCCGTCTGGAAGCAGGAAGTCATATGTGTTGCGAGAAGCGCAAGAAGCTCATAGCCACTGCACGGAGTAGGTCGGCTGATCTCTTGTCGGGGACTAGAATTGTACCCCTTTTCATGCTCGCAATTGTAACTCTCACCTCCGAAGGAAGGGTCTGGGGTAACGTTCTGCCAGTGGGGATTTTTGGTTTTCCCGTGTATCGTGGATCGGTACAGATTGGTGTAAAACCTCCATGTAACTTCCTCCATCTCAAACCTCGATGTCGTAAATGATCAATTCTCCTTCTCTGAACATGAAAGTGGAATTCTGTGGTCCTGCAGATCCCGTTGGCATTTTTCAGACTACTGTTCAAGGCTGCCTCCAGCAGTCTCCTCTCTCTGCATAGGTGAAGGTCTTGCCGCACAGATTGACTTCAGCTGATATTCGCTTGCAGCTTTTCGAGATGTGTGGCGTTCTGGTCAAGCTTCAAGCTTCTCGTCCGAGAAGGTCGTTCGTCGCATCTGAAGTGCGAGCAGAGGTATCCACTCGAGGAAGCTTGGCTTGTCCAGCACGAATGAGGAGGCCCTGAACAAGCGCGTCGTAGTCTTCGGTCGGGTCATCCATGACTCGCCAGTCATCGGGTAAAAGCGTCATTTGGAACATCACCGTCGTATACGACATGCTTCGAGCTCCTTCCGCAATATCAAGAGATTTTTCCGGCTTGTGATTGATTTTGATCTTGGCGTAAAGCCGATGATCAGAACCACTGCAGAAAAATGGTACTTCGCCAACGTCTGGTAAACACAACTTTCTGTTTGTTAATATTTGGGCCAGTTTAGCAGGAGACCCTAATGTCCAGCGGCGATGGTATTTTCTATGGGAGAAAGAGTTCGCATGGAAGAGTCGAGCCGCGGGCAGTAGTCCAGCTAGAGGGTTTTCGTTCTCGTTCCTGTCCCCATTCCGGACTTTTCAATCCTGGACTCTGCCTCTTGTGCTTCGCCCACCAGGACTAGCGTTGAAATCTCCAACAGCAAATTTGTAGAGGGACTTTTCGTTGGGGATGATTTCCTCAAGTTGGTCGTAAATCGCGTTCGCGATGCAGGCTTTTCACCACGAATTATGAGGATTCCATATCGTTCATTCGTCGTAGGTCGGTCCTCCTGCTCGTGGTTTTCTGCTGCGCAACCACGTGAACTTAATGTGACCTGCCGCACGACCTCCGTGTCGTGTGGAGGAAGTGCTGTCATGCTCCGAAATCCAAGTTGTCCTGCGCAACCCCAACTTTCTTCGCCTCTTGTCGATCGCCATACCATCCGACGCCGGAGACGGCTGAACCCAGTGCGCAGAGTGCTGAGGTCGTTTCATTGCTGTTTTAGCGAGCTTGCTCCCTGGAGTCTCAACACTACCTTGCCAAGGCCAGTGCTGAGTCCTAACCATCGTAGCTATAGCCACTCTGGATCAGAGGGAGCTGAAGTGGCCTACTCTTAACCCTTCAGACATGCAGACGTGCCGTTGAACTATTAGTTATACATAAATATTTATATAATAGTAATTAAAAATCGATGAAGGCTTCAACGGAACACAGCAACTTCGTCGAGAAGTAGAAAACTTAGGCGAGAGATTTCGGACCGCCGACAGCTGATGGTGTGACGGAATAATGTGTCAGGACAACAGGTTGCCTACTCTTTGGTGGGCGAATATTGCGCCGAGTGAGTCCTGGCGATTAATGCAGAACGTGATGACTCAGAAGTAACGTACCGGGGCTTGCTGTATGCAACTTAACGCGTTAAGAACGAATTCAACTGCGACCTCGGGCGGACGGGCAAGGGGGATTTAAGCAGGGGTCGCCTCCTTCAATTCCTCCACATCTACCTGACCACAGTGCTGAACATGAAACGGCAATTCGGTCGAGATAAACTCCAACATCACTGAAAAACACCGCCTGCATTAGGGCATATGATGAAATACTAAAATTAGAAAGAAACCATAAATGTTACTCTAGAGGACCAAATTTACTCAAAGTCGGACACGTCTACACGAATTAACGCTACCCTCCCAC